AAAAAAAAGAAAAAGCTCTTAGCTGCTTTGAATGTAAAGTTTATTGTATCGCTGCTGGTACATTGTCGCTCAGGAGTCATTTGATGTGAGGGCCTGCTTACGCACACCCCTGCTGTAAGAGACATCAGTTAATTCTATAAAATCCTCCCTGTGTTTGTGACAAACTGGATTATTAGACAGAAGGACGATGGACAGACAAGATGATTACAGACTGAATCAAGTCAACAGATTCTGATCATGACGGGAAGTGAGTGAGTGAACGGATGAAGTTGGATTAGTTTGTAGCGGTCATCTTAACCCCTCGTTTAGGTATGAGCCTAGTCATCCAAACACACGCTGTAATCTGCGTGGAGCTGCGCTGTGTGTGTGTGTGTACTTTTTTTTCTTACTGAGCTCTGTGAGTGTCGCTGTGATGATATTCACACTGAAGAGTTGACAATAGAATGCTATAAAGTGACGCAGAAAAAGGACATTCAAACTATCAAGTTATACCGATGCATAATTTCCTTCCACATGATCTTGTCTAATAATAATAATAATCCTTGCATTTGACATACCGCCTTATCACAATGTTGAGACATTTCAAAGTGCTTCACAGAATATATTATAAAGTGGATTGACTGTGTATTTTGTGGGCGAAACACAGCAGCCAATTGCGCACAGCAATGTTTCCCAAACAGTCATGGATTGAGTGACAGCATTTTTTGTTTAATCCCATTCACCTGTTCACGCCTCGAACCCTTTAATATTCCCCCTTCTTCACAATAACAATAATAAAATAACACTAATAGAATAATAAACAAAAATCCTATTGCTGTATTTGATTTCATGTGTGGGGAAGGTACATCTCAAACTGCTTATAAAGTGGAGTGACTCTATTTTTCTGGGTTAAAGATTAACATTATCCTTTTTAAAAGATTCCTATTTATTATTATTGATAATAATAATCTACAAACTAATCCCACTTCATTATTCTGCCTGAACTACAATTTATGGTGGAGAATGCCAAGATCTCTCCACCCTTTGTTGGCTAGATTTTTTTTCTCAAACCTCTGGTTGTCGGCAATAAATGTTTTTTTCTTAAAATAATATATAACGACACTGGTTACATACTAAGTTACAGCTGACTTTTTTAACCACTATTCAGGGGCATTAAGAAAAAGCACTGTTCAGTGACTGTCCCAATGACTGTGAGCACTGCCCCTGTTTATATCCGATTCTCACACAGATGTTGAGCAGTGAACTTTAAACAAAGATTTGTCTCGAGAGAGAGAGAGAGAAGCTGGTTTCGAAAATTGTTCAGGAAGAGTTACCCAGCAATGTACTTTCAGTAACTGGTTCATAGTAACATCATTCCCTTTGGATTTCGATCATTACTGTGTAAATATCATCAGAATGAATATTATCTATATGTATATATATATATATATATGTAAGGCATTGGGTATTGTGTGGCGCTGTCTTTGTATGCCAGCAGGCTAACAGTAACTCTGGTTTTGTAATCACTTCAGCAGACAGTAAATGCTTGACTGAACCACATCAGCATTGTTAGAGACACCACAGGAAGGTAACCAGCTTGCTGTGCCGTGTTTCTGTTGCAGTCCAGTGTTCGGCTGCAGTGCTGTAATATAAATGAGGCAGCACTGTTGCCTGCAGAGGGCAGTTATTACTGTCTCCAGAGGTAGCTCTTTACCTTGTCTCTCCCTGTGGCTCAGCGGCTCTGGGGATGTTGGGATAAATGTTACTTAGTTCTTACAGGAGAATAATACGGCTCGTGCTCTCTACCGAACTTCCTCGTTGATTTGGGAAAGGTGGATTAAGTTGCGACTTGAAATGGCTGCTTGTCCTGTGAGTTCATATGTGCCCAGTTACTTTGGTGGTGTGATTGATAGGCAGAGCAGAATATCATCACTGAGGATATCAGCGCCGTTCTGTCAGTACCATCTCTAAAATGTACTACAAAATAGATAAAGCATTAAACTCCTGGTGGGACTCTGAATCTTAACTAGGGGGTAATCTTAAGAGAATCTTTATTGTGACTATTAAGCCCATCTCACAGTCTGATCACCAGATCCACTGTTTCTCTCGCACTTGCAGTGTCATCAAATAGAGCCCTGTATTGTATTGGTTTGAGCACTCGCCTCGCAAGCAAGAGGACCGGGTTCGATTTCCAGGCGGAGTGAAACCCTAAGCAAGTTTCCTTACACCACATGCATCTGTTTACCTATTAGTAATTAGGAACCCGGTTGTTAGTCAATTGGCGGATGACTTTCTGGGAGTAATAATCCCTTAAAAGAAATGTGATCACTCATTCCACGACTGTTTGTGGGACACTGCTGTGCGCAATTGGCTGCCGTGTTTCGCCCACAAAATATACAGCCAATTAATTTTACAGTACATTCTGTGAAGTGCTTTGTGTCGACTCAATGTCGAGATAAAGCGCTATATCAAATGCAAGGATTATTATCATCAGATATGCAGCAAAGTGAGTCCTGTCGCCTACTGAGCTCCCAATGTCAGGCTGTTTGGTTATTTTTGCGTGCCAGGTGGTTGCTACTTGCTCATTTCACATTATAGCATCACGATTGCCTTATAGAGCTGTAGATCACAGTGCAAAGTGCTGCTGTCTCTTCTCTGGGTGAGATTTACAATGGCGGCGACTGAAGAATGTCACAGTCCTTCACTTGCTTCAAAGAGCAAATCCATTTACTCTGTTGCTTTTGCACTCAAGTTGGCCACAGTTTCTGCTCCGTGGCTGGTTTCCTCTCTCTCTCTCCTCCATAGGAAGGAAATCCTGTGGCCAGTTCCAAAGGCTCTACCTCCACCCTGCCTGAGATCTGCTAACTCAGCACAGGAGTCGGCATATTGTCTGATGGAAGTGAGGTTTATTGCATCGTGACAATAGAGTGGATGAGAATGGACAGGCCAATTGAAAGCGATGCTTAGTTCTGACATGCAGTAATGATATCCACTATACGTCTGTAATTTTTTCATTAACCAAGTGGATTATAGTTAATATTGTTTAATGCACACATGACAGTAATGCAGGATCTGTTCTGTAATCTTAGCAGGATTTAAAGAGACTAATATGTATTACATACAGCATTAGCCAGTGTCACCAGCAGACCCAATACTGAGTTACTGTGTGTTGCTTCCTGTTCTTGGTTATGCGAGTGGGATCTTTCTTGGACTTGGTCATTCGTTACCTGCAGTTCCGACTGGTTCATACATATCTGATAATAATCCTTCCAAAAAAAAATCCGATCATTCAATCCACGACTGTTTGTGGGACACTTCTGTGTGCATTGAGAACCCCATAGTATGACGTATCCTTCAATCTGATCATTTCGCCCACAAAATACACAGTCACTATACTTTTTACACTATTCTGTGAAGCACTTTGAGAACATCTCGAAGACTTGATATGTCAAATGCAAGGAGTCCTGTAGCTCAGTGGTTAGAGCACTCGCTTTGCAAGCGAGAGACCTGAGTTCATTCCAGGCAGAGGGCGAAACCTTGGGCAAGTTTCCTTACTCCACACAGAGCCTAATAATAATCCCTCCAAAACAAAAAACAATAATAAATTGGTCATTTTCAATCTATGACTGTTTGTGGGACATTGCTGTGCGCAATTGGCTGCCGCGTTCGCCCACAAATATACAGTCAATTCACTTTACAGTGTGTTCTGTGAAGCGCTTTGGGACGTCCTCCCGACGTGAAAAGCGCTATATCAAATGCAAGGATTATTATTATTATTAAGGATTATTATCAATATTGTTGTTCCAATGTTAGAAACTGGTTTGAGGGGATTTGGGAGTATTTCAGGCAGGAGGAAAAATAAACAGGTGGTTGTGCATTCATGCTTAAAGTCCCGATTCCTTTAAAGATATGCAACTGAATAGTAACTATGACGTAGTTTTTGCTATAAAGGATAAACTACAGTTATATCACAGTCGCTGTGGCTCTATATTTTTTGAAATTTTTTCAATTATTATGTAGCCGTTTTACTATAAATCCTGTGAAGTGCTTTGAGAAGGACATTCATTTTTTCTCAACATTCTTTTTATTTACATTGTTATTTTTCTGTGTTTTTCCTCCTTTAGAGTGGTCTTTTCCTCCAATATTATGTAGTTGGAGGCTGGGACGTACAGGCTGCTAGTGCTGGTACAATGTGCCAGCGCTGCTCTCCTCCCTGTTCCAGCTAACTGCATTAAAGCTTTGGCTCAAATTCCAGTCTACAAACTTCCATTAAATCGATGCAGAACAATTTTCGCAGTCTTTTGTGTTCCTGTTTGATGCCTGCCTCCACAGCTGGAATCATTCACTCTTTGCGGGACATTGCAGTGTGCAAATTCGCTGCCCCGTTCACCAACAAAATACACACAGTCACACCACTTAACAGTATATCCTGTGAAGCACTTTCAGATATCTTGCCGATGTGTTAAAGTGCTACTTCAAATACCAGGATGATAATTTCTTTATGTTCCCAAGAGTTGGATTCAGATACGTTTATCTGCTGCCTACAGATTTCCAAGACCTACATCATAATTAACACTGAATAATACTCCTTCCACTTGATATAACGCCTTTCGTATCAGGAGGATGCCTGAGAAGCATTGCATAGGATTCATTGTAAAGTGTAGTGACTGTATTTTTACTAGGCAAACATGGCAACCAAATTGCTCTTAAACTCATCAGGTGGACATTAAAGATTCCATTACCCCTTGAAAAGAGAGAACTGTTTCTCCCGGTGCCTTAGCCAACCAATCACATCGTGCCGAGTTGTGGTATATTGCTGGCCTTTCTTAACACACACAAAAAAACAGTCACCACACTTAACAGTACATCCTGTGAAGCACTTGGAGATGTTCTCCTGACTTGAAAGGCGCTATATCAAATAGAAGGATTATTACTATTATTTGGAAATCTGTTTGCCCATCACTAACCTGGTGTGCTTTTTCTCTGCTCTCCCCCTCTCTCTCTCTTTCTCTCCCTTGCAGTGGAAGCTTCCTGTCAGAATGAAGATGAAACGATTGAGGCGGCCGAAGCACTTCTCAACATGGAATCCCCAAACGCCATCTTAGATGAAAAAAGAATGTGTGAGTATTAGTTGCGCCCCTTTTGCTGCCATTTCTTTCAACTCTTCACTCTTAACGCACGTGCATTTATTTGTTGTACGAGTTAACCCAGCATGAAACGAGTGTAGAAGACACGGAATGGATCTGATTTCCTACCGCACCGGCCGTTCTTTGACCTGTTTCTTTTGGGTCTGTCAGTATGAGCAACACTTCACAAGGGTTGGAGCAGTAAAACAAAGTAATGCCTCGGACATAGAAAAATCTGCAGAAATGAATGCAGCTTGCGTGTTAAGAAGACGTGTTATAAAAGACTCTTTGTGTTGGCCGGGGAGCCAGGAGCAATCTCTATGCTGGTCCCAAACCTAAGTGTTTTGCAAAAGGGAGAGGAATTATCCTCAAATCAACCTCTTTGAGACGTCCTCAAACCAAGTGCTATGTGGCATCCTCCTGATGTGAAAGGCTCTGGATAAATGCAAGTTGTTTTCTCTGCAAAGCCTGAATGCATTGCCTTTTGTTTCCCCCCCACCCCAACCCTGTGTAGTTTCTGGAGTCCATGGATTTATGCATTCGCTGGATGACGATATCGAGGAGTCCATTGCTCACAAGCCTGACAGGATCTCCGAGATGATCAGGAACTCTTCGTTTCAGGGGCTGGGTGAGGATGAAGATGAGGATGAGTTGCCCAGAAAGAATTTACACAAACAGAGGAAAAAGAGAGGTAATTCCCATCAACCAGAAATTCAACTGGGTCTGTAGATTTACTCTCTTCATGAAACATTTTTGATAGCGTGCAACATTTGGCAAATTGTTGAACTCCCATTCTCAACTTTCACAAATTTTTCTTTGAATCCAGTTCTTAAAAAGAACTTATAATTTGATTATGAATTTCACCAATTCCGGACGTTTTGGACTGCTATGTTCTTTGAATAAATCTGGGCCCGGTGGGATTTTCTACCCCTGTATCTTTGCAGAGAGAAAAGACTACGTTGTACAATCCTTGCATTTGATATAGCACCTTATCCCATCGTTGAGACGTCTCAAAGCGCTTCACAAGATATACTGTAAAGTAGATTGACTGCAGTTTGCGCTCAGGAATGTCCCACAAACAACCATGGAGTGTAGTGACTGTTTATTTGTGGGTGAACGCGGCAACTAATTAACACACAGCTAAGTTCTGTGAGCTGTTGCTGTCAAAAGTTCTGACACAGGGCTTGAACCCACAACCTCTGACTTCGAGACGGGAGTGACTTAAACTGAGCCAGGCTGAAACCTGTCATTAACAGGGCATTAGCACTGTTGGCAGAAACCTGTCCGTATTTGAGAGAGTGTTAATGTTTATGGACTGTTCACACAGGTGTACATTCGTTTAGGAAATCCTGTTGGTTGCACTGACCACTTTCCTGTGCAACTAAAGCAACATTTTACCTCTAGGTGCCTCCTTGGAACCTTTTTCCACTCCCTCACCCCTTCCAAATTTGTATATTAATTTGAGGAGATGGGTAACAATGGTATCTCACTTTCCTGTGAAACCAGCATCGCACTGGACCTTTCCTCCTTGAAATATTGCAAGCTGCAGATCGCGGGGTTTACAATTGATGACGCCTCTTGATGCCGGTTTAGCAGTGAACCTTCAGGATCAACCTTTTGACTGTGTAGATAACTCCATGTAAATACATCCCTGATCTAAGCTAAGAATTCCACCTTTCGAAAACCTCTCCACTCATATACAAGCTCGCCGGTCTCGGGCATAAAGGTCAAAATCCTATCGGTGGGGGGGGAACCTTGTCATCTGTGTAGAACATTTCTGCAAATTGCATTGATGTTTCTTTGCTATCAGTGAGGGACGCGGTGTTGAGACCGCACAGTGTGTCCCACACTGCCGATAGCAGTGTTAATCAGGACGTAGCGGGCGTGAGCAGCGAGTGACAGGGATTTTTGCTTTCTGTTTTCCCAGCGCGTAAGGTGAAGCCTGCTCGGCCATCGTCTCCCGTCACGACTCCGCACATCCCCTACAGGAAGAAAAATAAAGACGGCAAAGGTACAGATCAGGGAGCGTCCGCAGTGATGTGCTAACCGTACAAGTTCACCTGGTCGTCGGCAGAATCCCTCCCCATTGGTGGCGCTGAGCGAGGGGACAGACTGCCGATGACTTTGAAAGCTTGTTCCGCGCGAGGTTTAGACTTGCGCTTTGCCTGTTGGTTGTTGTTGTGGTGCTTGTGGCGGACCTGTGACTGTTTGGAGAGTAACAGAGCCCTGTGACTCAGGAGCAGTGACTGACCCTGGAGCTCTGTGGGTGGCAGCAGGCTATTGGTGTGTGGCTTGTACACCCATTTCTTTAGCCACACTTTTCAAGGATTTAGCATTAAAAGGCTCGTGCGCATCTTACAGCAAATCAATTTTACCTAACCTCAGAGTTGCTCTGTCAGACTTAATTCTGGTTAAATGTGGACAGACTGTTTCCTTAACCTCCCCCATTGTAACACTGCACACTTTATTTTCAGGCAACACCATTTATCTCTGGGAGTTCCTGCTCGCTCTACTTCAGGATAAGAACACATGCCCAAAGTACATCAAGTGGACACAGAGGGAAAAGGGAATTTTTAAGCTTGTTGACTCTAAAGCTGTGTCAAAATTGTGGGGCAAGCACAAAAACAAGCCTGATATGAACTACGAAACCATGGGTCGAGCCCTCAGGTAAGCGATGCCGATATAAATGCTTTCCTGCCATCGTGTGTTTCAGGTCTGCCTCGTTGAAGTTGCCAAGAGCACCGTCTAAAAGCTGCTTTATCTATAAAGTAGCGTATTACCATTCGTATCATGGAATTTGTTGGAGAGGCGTTCAAAATTACGAGGGGTTTTGGTAGAGTAAATCAGGAGAAACTGTTTTCCACTGGTGGGTGGCTCGATAACCAGAGGACACAGATTTAAGATAATGTGCAAAAGAAACAACAACAACAAAATTACATTTATAGAGCGCCTTTCATGTCGGGAGGACATTGAGATGAGGAGAATTTTTTATACGTAGCGAATTGTTACGATCTTGAATGCAGTTGCAGTTTCATAGAATTCTTCCTCTGCGCTATAGGATGATATTGATACTATGACTGCTTATTCACTTAGATTTCCAGTTCATTTCATCCCTTTGTCTTCGCCTTTCATTGTGCAGAGAAGTGTCAGATCTGAGGGATGATTGCTTTTGGTATTTTTNCTAGGTATTATTACCAGCGTGGAATCCTGGCTAAAGTGGAAGGTCAGCGACTGGTGTATCAGTTTAAGGAGATGCCCAAAGACCTCATAGTCATCGATGACGATTCATCTGATCACGTCTCTAGCCTGAACCCCGGAACCAATTTAATCACCTCGACGGGTCACTTTGCTAAAAACAGAGTTGCCACACGCGGAGTCTTGCAGTCAAACACAACCAAGTTGTCGGTGGTGCCACAGACGGTGATGATGCAGACCTTTAAACGGGAAGAAGATGTGCTGATGACCCACTCGCCTCTCCGGGGGCAACAGACTCAGTTTGTACATACAGTGCACGGGTTACAGACAAACCAAGTTCTCCAGCACACGCTGCCAGAGGTTTCGATAAATGCACCGACCTCTATCGCTGTGTCATCTGCTGCGCACACAATCAGGTAAAATGAGGGCTCAGCGCTCCCCAAGACGCTGTCTCGCGTGAAGGGTGCTGTAGGAATGCAGCAGGAATGTAATGCAGGAATGTAATGCAGGAATGTAGGAAAGTTATTGTTTGTGTTTTAAGATCTGGAACTTGAGCAAGTGCAGTAGAATCCTGTGCTCCCATTTTGCGTCATTCCTTAGTGCAGAGCATCACATTGCATTTCTCCTTATTTATTCACCACGCAATGCGCTTTCAGACACCATCCCACCCCCGTCCTCCAACCTCTCCGGATTCCAACCCCCAATTTGGGTCCAAATCCCTGACTAACAAGCGCCTTGGTATGTCCTCCTTCCTGATGTGAAAGGCACTACACAAATGTAATTTGTTGTTGTTATTCTTACTCTTGCAAACCCCTCAGCCTTTTTCATGTCGCTGTGGAGAGCCTTGGGATTGTGTTCTGTTATAGGGCCTCCTTTGAAATCATATTACCAGACATGGGTCTGTAGAACAGATTGAAAGGGTCTTATTGGAACATCTCAGGGAAAAGGGACATTCCAGTCGGAAATGGCCTAGAGTTCTTTGTGATGCGTAAATACCGTTACTATTCAGTTCATGAATAACCGCATCAGAAGTCCAGTGAAGAGTTTAAGTAGGGCACCTGCTTATCTACTCGGCGACAGGAGGATTGGTGGCCAGGACACCAGGAGAAACTCTCTTCTCTTTCCATATCCTGCGAGGGGATCTTTAACATCCACCTGAACAGGCAGAAGGGAGGGGGGAGGGCTGGGGCCTCGAATGATGACTTTAATAACGTTTTCTTTCTGTTTAATCCAACAGAACAATAAGTGTCCCAGCCCAGTGTCCTGTGATGATGACGACCTCAGGCACACAGGGTCTCGGTACTCTAATGCTCCAATCTGTACCCCTCACCACTGTGCTGGCGGGAACAGATGCCTTGTGTAACTCGCCTCCCAAAGTCATTCTGCGTGCCATTTCATCTTCCGAAGGATCAAAGGACGGGCTTGCGATTCAGGCAACCTTGCCTGCTACGGGTCTGAACGACTCTACCCTGTACGAGACACAGCAGGGCCAGGTGATTGCCACTAGCCTTTCGTCACCCAATATTGGGTATCCGACTGTGATCAGCACCGCACCGCACTCGGCCCTCGACACTGTCACCCAAGTAGTCACCCTCAACAGCAGTGGGCAGCCGCTGGTGGCCCATCGTGCTGGCAGTGTGATCGCCACGGTGCTCAAACCACCCGAACCTATTCTGGACCCCTCCGACTACCACACCGTTGTCAGGTCCAATGCCAACACCTCCAACACCAGGGTAAAAGTGGAAGAACGTGATAGAGGGTTTGCACTCAGTTCGGACACCGAGCCAAACTATCAACACCTGCACACTGTGGTGCTCAGCACCCCGAACGGCCTTGGGTCCGAGTTGAAAGCAGAGGCCGTGGACAGGGACTTTGAGAGCACTCTGCGAGCTGGCCACGGCCCCGAGGACTTCAGCTGCACGTTGCCAAATGGCCTGAATTGTATTCTCACACCCGTAGACAAACTGGAAGCCAGCGAAGAGTCTTTAATGCTGACACTGCAGCCAGGGCACAAAGCAGATCAGGAAAAAAACCTGCTGGGGACCAATTTGGATGATGGCCTGCCCTTCCTCAAGTTGGAAAACGTCCAGATGGTCTTGCATGTGTCGAGCTTGCTCAACCATCCGAGTACTCTGACGGCTCCCAGCCCGAGTGCCAAATCCATTCCCGTGGTGGTCAAAGCAGAGCCAGCAAATAACATCAAGCAAGCATAGCAAGCAAAGCCATTCCTCAGTACGTTACGCTGGACCCTTTTGTTTGATCGTACTCGTTTTGGAGGATTGTACATAAACTATTATTGATGCAAAGTCTAGGTCACAATAGTTACCTATTTAATACTGTAATGGGGATGTTGCTGCACATTCCAATTTTAGAAGTGGGGGGTGGGGGGAAAGGGGGAAATGCTTCTTATCCGTGCTGTAATAGTAGTCAAATTAAATGATCGAACTTCGGGATGATTTTCATGTTATTGGCACAATGTTGAGAAGTCGCTCTTTTCATTTCCTCTATCTCTTCCTTCCCCTCCCCCCCCACCCCTCCGCACTCCGTTTATTTAAACGGGTACTGAAAAATAATTTGGTGGGTCCTCGTGTTAGTCCGTCACTGAGTGAGTCAAGTGACCTGCTCAGGGGTGCTCCGCACAGACAGAGCCTATTGAGGAGGTTTTTCTCCACAGACAAATTGACCACAGCGCTGGGGGTCGGTTGGCGGAAGCGTAGCACAGCACGTCACTCTGCATCAGGGTTCCTTAAGTGGCCTGATTCAGAGTTTAAGGTTGTGCTTTTTCTTCCTCGAGTTACTTGAATCCAGTAAATTCTGTGCATTTCCAAACATCGCAGTTTGAAAACAAACCAAAGCTGCCCAGAGTCAATTGCGTCACTATTTCACAGTAGTTCCTCCACACACCCACCCACCCACATGCACACACACACACGCACACATAGATAGGTGCTTGGTTTGGGGGCAATAGATGGAATTCTATCCATGTCCATTATTCATTCCCCTTTCCCCTCAAAAATACTTTAAAGGTTGAATCCTATTTAGCTATCCACAGAATATAATTCAGGCAAGGCTTCTGCATTGTGAAGTCTAGGCCAGCAAAAGTCTATTTATCTTTTGTAAAGCAGAGACAGAAAGCCTTATGTAGAAAGATTGTTCTCTTATCAAAAATTGAACTCAAGTCACCGCTCATATTGTTATTGAATGTAATTTTTTTTAAAAAGGTGACTTGTTTCTCCCTCTTCTCCAAAAAAGTCAATAATAAACCACAAGATGAAAATAATTTTATATCAATCGTTTATGCCTTGTAGAATTTCAGAATGTTATATTTTTCATATATCTAATAATGAAGAGAAAAAAAATTCTTCAGAGAAAAAAATGTGAAACTGGGATATTTTATAAGAGTGGTGGGATTTGTTTTGTTTCCCCAACAAAAAATGTAAATATTTAACTTTGATATTACAAAAAAATATACATTTTCTGATAATGGTATATTATTTTCTCTCGAGCTCTGTGTTTGAAAAGCTTCTGGTTTGTTTTGTCAGTGGATCTGCCTGTGCTCTCTCTAATTGTTGTTCCGTTCAGAGACCTGTGTTCACGCAGGAATCTCCTGAATAGTCACTTGGTAGAATGAGTTTTCTTTAAAAATGAATAAACCCTTTTATATTGCAAATTCGATAAACTAGACCGGCTTGTTCCTTGTTCCAGAATATTTTTGTTGCGGTTACGGGCGTCTTTACGTGATGTTTCAGGATGCACTTGGAGTTTGGAACCGCTGCTCAGTTGGTTTGGATACTCTTAAGCATCGTGATGGGTTTCTGCATGTGTCAGATACCCGGCTGACCCACACAAAATGAGGAGGAGGAGGAGTGCTGGTAAAATATGCTGAAGGGAATCCCCAATGAGAGGGGCCAGACAGTGGAGTGGCCAAGTGAACCTGTGCTTGTCTCTGTGACCGAGTGGGATTGGCAGAAGTGCTTGCGCTGCTCTTGAGATGCAGTGGAGGCTGTATATAGTCAGACACCCTAAGGAACGGAATAATATTAGTGTGTCCTCCTGGCCATAAAAACAATGGGAGTGATAACACTTGCTGAATGAATGAATTTCTGCTGTTACCTTCAGATTTGGTTTAGTCACTTCCACACTGAGCTCTCGTAGCCAAATACATACTTCAAACAGCAAAACTGCTCTCCGAGTGATAAATGACACCCGCGTCTTTATTTGCAAACTGAATTTGTGTTGCAGGTCACAGATTCCAAGACAAAAAAAAAACGAAAAAAGGGATTGGAGAGCAAAACACCGGCTGAGCACATGTCAGAACATAACCTTTTATTTTATAGTTGAACATTGGCTAAACTGCAGTGTATCGACAGAGCAAACTAACACTCTCCGAGTGCAGTCCAGCCACACAAGCAAGTGCTTCTGCTCTGGGATTAAAATACACCAAGAAATCAGTGCCTTGTTTAAAAAAATTCCGTAATTGCCAGAATTGTGTTTTATTTTCTTGCCAGTCATCTTGCTTTTTTGTCTCGAATCTGGGCCAATTTGAGCAATGCCCTAATGAAAACCATCTTACTTTTGACACATGCGATGCAGTGTGATCTGCAGACAATGGCTCGGTTTAAATTCAGCTCACAGCTTCTAAGCAATGCATGCGGCAGAATAAGTGTCAGTGTGCGTGAGTTAGTCATGCACAGCAGAACATGGAATTACATTGTGATTGCAGTCTGTCAAACTCCCTCCAATTGCCGGCTTGTTGCTTACAGGTGGATTAGATTCTTTCCACTTTAGAAATGCGGGTTGCCACACATAGCTGGCATTGCTGAACTTCACAGCTCATTGATCCGTCTTGTTCAAATAAAGTCATGGTGAAATGAGCAGCACTTCATAATGTGTTGCATATGAGAATTATCACATCAAATGCTTTGTGAAGTGACACCAACCTACCACCCCCCACCACCGGTGAGTAAAGGGAAAGAATAACTGAATGTGTGTTCATCAAATAAATACCTTATATTATCTAAATGTGATTTATGTAGCGTCAAATGATGTAGACTTTGAATTTTAAGAGCATTGACCAATCTGGACAATCTGAGGTTCACTGCAATACAGTCACTACACTTGGCAGCAATTTCCTGCACTGAGATGTGTACGGCATCCTAAGTGCAATATCAAATGTTAATGGAAGTGTCAAAGGTCTCTGACCAAGTGCTTAGGTCAGAATCAGGGTAATACTCTCCTCTAAACTACACCCAAGCCTCTATTGCATTGATGCCACCATGTGCAAATTCAGTGGCTTACAAATATATAAATGCACTGCACTTTACAGTAAACACCTGTCAAATGTATTGAAATGTTTCTACGCCGTGATAAGGCTCTGTACAGAATGCAAGGATTATTATATTTCCATTCTTCAAAACGAACATGGGCTGGAACTGATCATAGATCCTGACATTAGGAATATAGAGATTCCACTTGGGTCTGGATTCATTCTTATGGTCTTAATGTTTCAGAGCATGAAGAATTCGACAAATTCTTTAATACGGCCTTCACTTTTGGACTGGGTTTCCATAAGTTAATTTAAGAACAACAGCAAACGTATCATCCCCGAAGGTGTAGTGGGCAGAGCTGCAGCTGATGAACCTGACAACTCACTGGTTCAAATCCTGCCTGTCCTGGAGTTTGTTGTTCGCAGCCTTAGCTGCTTGGGGGGGGAAGTTAATAAAAAACAGCCAGAGTAAATCTAGACCCAGGCGGAATTTATAGATAAATTGATAGAACATTCGGTCCTTTGCCTGCAGTGCCTATTGAATCAAAAGCCATAACCACGTTTAATTAGATATTTGAAACAAAGCCTTGTAAAAAAGCACAGGGAATCAGGATTAACGCAGAAAAGTCCAGAGGAGAAGCTAGGGCCAGCATAGACTTGGTGGGAAAAATGGCCTTCTGTACTGTAAATTCTGATACCATTGTAAAATGCGTCTACCTGGAGAAGTAGCTCTCTCATCTCTTGAGTCAGAAACTCATGCATTCAAATCCCACGTCAAGACATTGTGCTCAATAGTGTAGGTCGACACACCAATGGAGTGCTGGGGGTATATTTCTTTGTTGGAGGTGAGTTTATCCTGGTTTCCTAGCCAAGAATCTCCCAGGTAAAATTGGCCACTCACTACACTAGCTGTGTGTGGGCCATTGCTGTGTAAAAATTAGATGCCGTGTTCACCTACAAATACACTTCACAATAAAATCCTTTGAGATGTTTCAATGCCGTGATGAGGCGTTCTATCAAACGCAAAGGTTATTATTATTATAAAATGAGAAATCTTAAAATAAAATGTTATACTTGTATAAGATAGCAACTGGGGGAGCTAAATGAGAATTTAGAAGGAACTTCTTCATGCAGAAGTAGTGAGATTGAGTGGTGGTTGAATCATGTCTTCAAAACCCCTCAAAGCACTTCACAGAATATACTGTAAAGCGAATTGACTGTATATTTTGTGGGTGAAAAGCGGAAGCCAATTGCGCACAGCAGTATCCTGCAAACAGTCATGGATTGAGTGTCCAAATTATTATTTTTTTGGAGGGATTATTATAGGTAATCCGTCTATCGACTAAAACCACATTCCTACTTACTGAGAGGTAAGCAGAGGCATGTGGAGTAAGGAAACTTACCCAACTTTTCACCATGCCCGGGAATCGAACCCAGGTCCTCTCACTTGCGAGGCGAATGCTCTAACCATTGAGCTACAGGACTCCACATGGAGCTTTATGGCTTTCCCAAGATCTGTCTAGATGCTGAAGGAACTGGTTTGAGTGGAATGCAGAAGCAGTTGTGAAAGTGAACAGGGATAAAAATGCTCTCGCCAGCTCTGTGCCTGGTCGCAGCCCAAGTTATCGGGTTGAAAGCTTCCTCTCTGATGGCAGTTAAGGGCCCCCGAGTGAAATTAATTTGACGGCTCTCAACTCTGTTCCCAGTGGGCACGAGTTCAAGGCAGAAAAACTGCCTGTAATTCAGGGCTGAACTGACAAGCAAGCAGGCCAGTCCTGAGGACGTCTCGTGTGGCAATTGGAAATGTCATGTTGGAGCAGCAGCGGATCCCTTGTGAGGTCAGGTTAAAGCTAATTCTTTGTTGCAATCTCTTTATGCGAAGTGGTGTCAGACTCCGCCACTGTGAAGCACTCCAGGACCCTATCCAGCGTGAAGGGCGCTATATGTTGTATCTTTACACTATGTAGCACCTTTGATTCGGACACTTTCCCCTGAACATTAAGAAGCACAAAAATGAAAATCACTGGAAAATGTAGTGTGTTTTACTTAAAAGAAAGTGGCTCAACCCGACATGAAACTGTATTTTATTTTACGAAAATAAAACGAAAAGACATTTCGAAGCCGGAATCCGGTGAAAACGTTTTTATATAATAATAATAATCCTTGCATTTGATATAGCGCTTTTCACGTCGGGAGGACGTCCCAAAGCGCTTCACAGAACACACTGTAAAGTGAATTGATTGTATATTTGTGGGCGAACGCGGCTGCCAATTGCGCACAGCAATGTCCCACAAACAATCGTAGATTGAAGATGGCCAATTTTTTTATTATTGTTTTAGGTTTTTTGGAGGGATTATTATTAGGCTCTGTGTGGAGTAAGGAAACTTGCCCAAGGTTTCGCCCTGACCTGCCTGGAATTGAACTCAGGTCTCTCGCTTGCAAAGCGAGTGCTCTAACCACTGAGCTACAGGACTCCATAAATGATTGCGGTTACGAACCTGCTAACGTTCTACACGGGGAAATTTTTGGGGGGCGTGCGTACGTACGAGAGATGTGTGTGGTTTGATCTGTCGCCACGCAGGAATGAAAGCCTGCAGGAAACCAAAGGTGAGTTTCAGAAGCTTACCTCATATCAGCTGGAGTCAGCCATTCTGCTAAGTTTGGAGCAAATCGTGAAGTGTGGACTGCGATCGTCTCTCCACAAGCGCAGGAAGCGTCCCTCCAGGGAAAGAGTGCGCAATCCATTCCAACAACCTATCTCTGGGATTTCCATGTGTAGATGAGATGCATGGAAATCTCAGCTTGGTTTGGACGCTCTTAAGCACGGTGATGGATTTCCGCACGTGTCAGACACCCGGTTGACCGAAAGAAAGAAAAGAAAAAAACCTGCACAGTTCAGGTTGGCGTCGGTGAGAAGCAGAGCACACAAAAAAAGGAAACGGTTAATGTGAAATTCCAGTCAGCTGAGTGTCTTGTTACTATGGTTTCGAGCATTGATTAGTCCACCAGGAGGTGTAACTTTTGATAATGAGATTGTCACCATTTTCACAGATTGGCAATCGGGTTATCAAGACTTCTAACTCCTCACTGGCTGATCAATGGTTGTAAACATAGCAACAGGCCATTGCAACTGGATGCACTCAGATATTTAAACCATCAATTCCTTTACCAGTTTAGAGGCTTTGATAGTGGGGAGTGGACAAGGCATGTGGACTGAAAGTGCAGTTTGCTCTGAGAGCCTGAATGGCCTCCTTCTGTTTTGTAACTTTCTAAGATTCTATTTTGTATCTCTATATTTTGTCAGAAGTTTCCTTTTGAAACTCAACCCCTTAGCTGTCTTCTACCCCCTCCCAAAAAACAAAGCATGGCATTCCGTTATATAAGGAGCAAACCTTCTTGGTTGCATT